CCCGCGGTGGGGGGGGAGGCTGCCGCAGAAGTTCCTTTTCCTGCTCTTCCTCTCGGGCCTCGTCACCCTGTGCTTCGGCGCCCTGTTCCTGCTGCCCCACTCCTCTCGCCTCAAGCGCTTCTTCTTGGCCTCGCGGACCAAGCACCCCGGCGTGGAGGTGATGGCCGAAAACGCCGGCCACCACCCGGTGTCCGAGCAGGAGTCGCCTCCCAACCCTGCCCCGGCGGCTCCGGCCCCGGGCGAGGACGATCCCGGCCGCCGGGTCGGTGTCCTCCGTAGGAAAGGGTGGCTGCGGCGCATCCGCCCCACCGGGCCCCGGGAGGAGGGCAACAGCGTTGCAGCCCCCAGGCCGCGGGAAGAGAGCGTCCGGTTCAGTTTCGACTACAATGCTTTCCGAAGCCGCCTTCGACACCCGGTCTTGGGGACAAGGACTGATGATGACAGTAAGGAGTCCCAGAGTCTAGTGCGAGCTCAGCGAGAGAAAGTCAAAGAGGTAAGCTCCTGGTCTACCTGAGACCCTTCAGGCACACTGCAGCACCGCCTCCCTCTCCAAAGTTACTCTCTCTCCTCGGTGCATACTTAGGGTAACTAGAGCTTTAGCTTATGGCCTCTTCGCAACCTCTAGGCGGATCTTTCCTCTTGAGTCCCCAGCCCTGGTGGGTTCCACGCTTTCCCTTGCTGGGCGTCTAGTGTGGAGTGGGCTCTAGGTCCCGAGTTTGCATTTGTACAGGAGGAAGCCACTAGAAATTTTCCCTCACTGTGTTGTGTCTTGACTTCCCCCGAGCCCCAGCAGGATATGGAAACCCAAGATGTGTGAGGTATTTGGTATCCTGTTTTGTAATCTCTCAGCATCTCGCAAACCAGGGATGTCTAGCATTCCCGCTAACTGCTTCTACTGAGCTTTGGCAACAATTGTACATAATTGCGTGTGAGAGAGGAAGAAATAATCAATAAAGCAGTGGTTGCAGAAACTCTGATGTTATTGGCTAATTGAGGTGGGTCGTGGACTGGTTCCCTGTAAGGATTGGGCCACAGAGGGTTGGCGAAGGATCACTTTGAGTCACAGTCTTAGTTTATGACATCAAAAACAAACCCAGCCTGGACATGGCTTTCAGACAGTTGCCAAGAAGCCATTGGTACTGAACATTCTGCCCCACCCCAGCTTAAGAGTGGTCTGTGTGAGATGTGTGGCCAGCATAGCAGAGGGGGCTGCAGTGACACCCCCAGGCCACAAGGGGGTTGTGAGCAAGGAGTGGGCCAGGGTCTCCTCCCTGGAAAGAAGAGGATGCTCTCCTCTTCCTGGGGACCCAGAAGGAAAGCACTGCTGCAGTTGGGACCTCTGAGTTTACTGCAGGAAGTCGGCAGACCTGCTTCCATTTCTAGAGAGAACAGGCAGCACCTTTAGGGTCTCCCCTGCCAAGATCTACTAGAGCCACTGGAGGGCTTCGCTACCCTCTTCCTCTGTGGGAGCTGCCTTTCTTCCCAGTACCCATCTCAGCACCATTTATGTCTGCTTGTACCCAAAGGTGCCACTCAGAGCCCTGTTTGAGACTCTTAACAAGTAATCACAGGACATGTGAAGTCACGCAGAAGCTAAGTCCTTAGTGTGTGCATGCTCATGTGTGCACATGAGCAGCTCTCAGTTTCCCAACTGTCACTCAACTCTCGAAGATTAATCAAAGACTAGAATTTGCAATAATTAAGCAAGAGACATCATTTCTCCTCTTTCTTTTAAGGGGCTGTCTTGTGCCCAGTTCACCTATGCCATTTGCCTTTCTCTTTTCCGAAGCTGCTTCCTAACACAGGCCCTCTTTACAGTCTTCTGAACCTCCGTGGCGGGCTGCAGCCCCCAGTGAAATCAATCACACACACATTGCATGCATGTATGCCATTTCTCATGGGATGCCTAGAGCTGCCAAGAAATTGTCAAAAAGATCTCCAAAAGGATTGAGCGTTCAGTACTGTGGAAGAGGTACAGCAACTGTTCTGAAAGCCTAGGTTGGAGTCCCCCTGGCTGGGGGCGGGGAGTGGTAGCCTGGCTGCTGGAGGGGAACTTGGCTCTGTCCATGCAGAGACAGCCTTTGTTACTAGCAGAGGCTGGGGTTCCAACTTTCTGCAGTGGCTGGGGCTGGTAGGAGGTGTGAGGACTCTGCTTTGCAGGTGGGTGTGAAATAACACAGCAGGAGGAGGGCTACATTGTTGCCAGGTATCTGGAGCTGTGATGTGTCATCTCCTTACACCCTTGGTATAGCTGGAGGCATGCTTGGGGTTCCTTGCAACTGCTATTCCACAGCCTGCTGGATCTGTCTTGGAGACTGCGAGCTCCTCAGAGTGATATTCACAGTTATGTTTGGGGACCTGTGGTCTTTTCAGGCTACTTGACTTTGAACCCTACACCATGTCTCCATCCTGAAAATGGTGGGTGGGGTCTTTTAGAAGTTAACATACGGTGACTGTCCCTGCTGTCCCAAAAGAGGAGGCATCTGTAGGACTACTGCTGGAGGTGCCTATTCGTGGTTCTCCTTCTGTTTCTCTGTGTCATGCCTGGGGGTGAATCATTTTAAAGAGGCCAGTGACTTTTGTTTCTGGTTTGTTTATTTCCAGACATGGATTGATTAGACCCAAGGAGAAGTAAAGCTAGCATCAGATAAAAAGAGCCCTGTTCTTATAAGATGAGATTTTTAAAGTGAAAATAAGCATTGGAACAGAATCCGAGAGGGTGATAGATGGGAGTGGATGGAAACTGGACACTGGCTCCCGATCAAGTAAATGTATTTGTGAACATTCAGGTCTGAGAGATGACCTGTGCTGAGAAGATGTGTGGAAGTGGCAGGTTGTGGTTATTCATGTGTCGGGGATACTTTGTCACCTCTAGGTTTTGGAACCATGGAGAAAGCAATGTGTTGGAGATGGGGGATCAAGAGAACAAGGGTCGGTGTCTCAGCTGCCAGCCATCTCTTTTTAGGCAAGTCACGTCCCTTCCTGCCTGAACCTTCCTGTAGGATTGGGTGAAAGAGAGGTGATAGGCTGTTGGTGGACACTGGTCCAGCTCTGGCCCCTCTGTAGACTTCCATGACCATCAGGGACACCAGGCATCCTTGCACCTCCTGGTCCCATGAGGTCAAGTGCAATCATGTGTTGGTTTTGATGGCAGTGATGGATATTATTGTATCCCTAGCTTATACCCATAAATAGCTATCTAAATGTTGATTAATTTAGTTATTCCCAGCGCTCAGGTTGAACTTGGGAGATGGGGTAGAATGGCTGGCTCTACAGCTTGTGCTCATGAAGGGCAAAGATGTTAGCTAGAATACAAAAGAGAGCAGGCTTGTTAACTACTTCTTTTTCCAGATCTGATGACCATATGGACCCATAGGGATGCTTTGTGTGTCGTCCACATGTGTGTTGGGATGCATTCATAGCTGTCCTGGGACATGTGCAACCTGAGAGCTGCAGGTTGGACATGTTTGATAAGGAATGGGAGTCCTTGTCCGTTGGGGGATGGCCCGTGGATTCAAGCTCAGGCTTTTCTTACATAGAAGAGTTGGGAATGGGCACTCTGTTAGCATCACATTCCAGGGAAGTAACTTACACTGTTCTAAATTCATGATGGTGGGCTGCTGATCTGAAAAACCTTGTGGTTCCCTCCCAATAAAGGGGACTTTTGTCAAACAGAATGGCAATCTAGAGCCATGATACTGGTCATGGGTTTTGGGTGTTCTCCTAGCCCATATGTTACTGTTGGACAAATTATAGGAAGGACTATTCCTTCTGGTTCCTCTTCCTGAAGTGCTTGTCTGGGCCAAGAGAACCTGGATTGAGTTTCTGCTTCATTGTCCAGTTGGCCCTGGTCTCTCATGTGTCACCACCTCACAGCAGTCTTGCAAAGAATCCTGCCTGGTTCCACTCTGATTGTGGTTCAGGTCTTGGTCTTGACATGGTAAAACCAAGAGACCAGAATTCAGAGAGTGCTCCTCTCTTCCCCCTGCCTCCCTGTTTACTGTGTGTTCGTGGATCTGCCCTAGTACTTGGATCTGGTGTGACATTTAGTTGGCCCAGATACTTGAATACCAATTCAGTTTTATTCAAGATCTATATATTGGGCTGATGTGGTAGTTTGAATGTAATTGACCCCTGTAATGTCATAGGGAACGGCACTATTAGGATGTGTGGCTTTGTTGGAGTAGGGTGCTGGAGGGTGTGTCACTGAGGGGGCAGGTTTTGAGGTTTCCTATGCTCAAGATATCACCCCGTATTGCAGTCGATTTCCTGTTGCCTGTAAGATGAAGGACTTTTAGCTACCACTTCATCACCATGTCTGCCTGCAGGCTGCCTTGTCCTGCCATGATGATAATGAACTGAAACTCTAAACTGTAAGTGAGCCACCACAATTAGATGCTGTCCTTTATAAGAGTTGTGGTGCTCATGGTGTCTCTTCACAGCAATAGAAACCTAAGACAGCTGAGATTGGTCAGTTGGTAAAGTTCTTCAGGACTTGAGTTTGAACCTCAGAAACCATGTCAAAAAGCAGAGCTTGATGCTGTGTCCTTCTTATCCCAGTCATAGGGAGGTAGGGACAGGTGGATCCTTTAGATTTATTGGTCAGTCAGCCTGCGGGGTGGGCGGGGGAGCCATGTTAAGGCACCTGCTGCCAGGCCTGACAAGTTGCCTTTGATCCCTGAGACGCACTGTTTCCAAAAATCTTACCCTGACCTTCACTGTGGTGCTACGACATGTGTGTTGCACCCCTCCCTGTAAACAAAATAAATAAATGTAAAAAGAATTGCTGTTCTTAGAGGTAAAGCACAAGCAAGACGGATAACAGCGTGAGGTTGACCTCTGGCCCCATATGCACGCATACGTGGGCTTGTGCACCTTCTCTTAACATGCAGCACACACACACACACACACACACACACACACACACACACACACACACAGAAAGAGGGAGAGAGGGGAGGAGAGGAGAGAAGAGGAGAGGGAGAGATCTGTAAATGAACAGTTATGGCTGCTGGTAGTTGAGACTGGATCATTGCCCCAAGAGCACCTGTGTTCCCAAGGAGGCTTACAGGGACCTCCAACCAGGTTTAAGGGCTTTAATGGCTCAGCCACCCAAGAGGTTGCCTAAAAGGATCAGTAATTTTCCAAGGCTAATTTGAAGGGGGTGGAGGTGAATGAACTCTTTTCTGCCTGGATAGCAGGCACCTGGAGGATGCTTTTAATTGTCCCAAAGTGCCTTTGGCTTGGCAAGCATGTCCCTGGCTCTGCCCTCGGGGCCTGCCACCCCCAAGCCTCCAGGATATTGCTGGCTGTGACAGGTGATGTTGTCATCTTGTTGGATGGTCTTTGCTCCTCATTAGTAGGCTGGTTCATTAGTCATGTGTGGTTTCTCCCTGTCTCTGATTTATCATCACCAGTACCAGGGACAGGTAGGAAAATTAAAAGGCGTTGTGTTCTTTGTAGCATGTGAATGGGAGTCTGGGAGATGCGTAG